ACTCTCTTTGTATTTCTATCCCACCCCAAGTGACCCATTTTTAAGCTTTCAATTTAGTGAATTTTAAATCAATAACATAACTGGAAATGCAAGATGAACTTGTATTTGGTTGGTATTTGGTTGGCTTTTCATCCCTTTTCCTTGGGGCTGTGGGGGGAGGGGCATGTAGCCAAGTCCTTGTGAGGCTAAATTATGCGGCTGAAGGTGTTTTCAAAGCAAAACTAACCTTGCACAACTCCCTTTCTCATCCTTCCCCAGGTCACATGATCATGTAATGAACTTGGTTGAAACCAACAGGTAATCCACGAGGCTGTGCTCCAGACAGCTAAGTGGCTTTAAAGTAAACTTTGATTGCAAGCAGGAGGGGGCTTGCAAGATAAAAGCATCATTTGTCTTTTGCTCACTTGCTGTGTGGCTACGCATTGTCCTGTGAGGACCCTTGGGAGGTGGGAGACTTGGCTTGTCCTGGGCAGCCAATAAGCAGTTTTTCTCTTTGGCACAGAGTGGGTATTTACTGGCCACACATTCCAGCGCTTTGATTGACTGGTGAGCTGGACTTGGCCTGTTCTGAGCTAAAGAGATCAAGACTTGGACAGATCTTTTTCTGTCTAGTGATGTCAGCAACTTAACTGACTTAGTCAACCAGCCTGTTGACTCCAGGGTCTTCAAGGGGAGTACAGATTCTTGAGTTCACAGGCAGACTAACAGAGGTTTGCTTATGGTGTGGTGGCCTCTGCTAGAAAAGAGCTTTTGGGAGCCGGGCTATCATGGGCTCCTGTCCTCCCTGTTGGTTTACTGTAGTGGTCCTCCACTCTGACAGGGCCTGAAGTGTTTTATCTTCCATTTTGAACATCACTATGAAGCTTCTGCAAGGAATATGCTACAAGTTTAGTGACAGACAAACTCAAATAGTTGAGCAAGAAGTGAGAGAGTTTGGAGACAGAGATAGGCCTGTGAACGGGAAAGTGGGAAAAAATAATCTAATCATCCTTGAGTTAGAGAAGAACATCCTTTGTTTCCCATCTCACGGAAAAAATCCCAGGTATGCAGGCTCATGGCCTCAAGCTTCACCTGGCTCCTCAGCTGGACTTATGATGTGCAATAAAGCAACCCTTTCAAAGGCATTTGCTTCACTGGGTTGTTTTGATGCTTAGGGAAGGATGGCTAGAACTGGGTGACTTGCAGCCCACAGAGATGGTCCTCACCATGTTCCTTCCGGGGAGGACACGGTTCCTAATCAGCTTTTACATCAGCTTTCTTCTTCTAGAGACCATAAGGGTGATCAAAGCTGTGTTCCCAGGAATTTTCTTCCTTTAAACTTAAATGTAACCTCAGAGAGAATTACGTTCAGTTCTGACTCTCTGAGCAACATTGGATCTTCCATAATGTTGGTGAAAAGACCATTGATATTGTTAAATAATGTCTACAATAGATTTCTAAGTAAAGATATTCAAAACCCTTTTCAGACAATGGTAGTACATAGAAGTTTAGAAAGATATGTCTGGCATTTGACTGTGCCTTAAAACCTTTAAGATGAAAACCAAATAAAATAGTTTGTAGAAAATTTCAGTCTGCTGGGTTAGGAAATTTATTATTCTTTCTTTTGTTGATCCTCCCCCAAACTGTAATTACAATACACAATGGTGTGTGTGTGTGTGTGTGTGTGTGTGTGTGTGTGTGTGTGTGTGTTGATTGGTTGAAGGTTGAATCCAGGGCTCACGTTAGACAAGTGCTTGACTTCCCACCTATGTCCCTAGCCCTTCTGATTTCATTTAGGGACAGAGTCTTCCTGAGATGCACAGGCTGATCTTAAGCACTCTGAGCAGCTGAAGTTACACGTGTACCAGATACTTAGTAATTCTTCTCCATGGAAAAAAAATCACAGTCCGATTAGGTGGTGTGAGGTTTCTCACTTTTAGTGAGACTTGTGCATCTTACTTGTGGGCACTCAATGTTTATTAAAGGTAGTATAGCGTGATGGATGCTTTTTCAAATTACAGCTTAGCATTTATTTATTTATTTATTTATTTATTTATTTATCTATTTATTCTACTTCCTGGTGCTGAGGCATAAACCCAGGGGTGTGCACATGCTGGTCACACCTATTCTGAGCTGCATCACCAGCCTAAAATTAATTTAGTAGGAAGTCATATTTAGCATCTTTCCTACGTACCTCCATTTGTCCATAGCTGATGAGTAAACACCAGTTTACTTGGCTAAATACACCGCCACATTTCTTTCTATTTTGATCACCCCTGAAAAACATGCCAAATGCAAATACTTCTGTATATACACATATATTTTACTTCCTTCGTGGGCCTCTTTCCCTTTACACAGGGATGTCTACTTGTTCCTTTAGAAATATAGGGGATGAAGAGACTGCTCAGTTGTTAAGGGCACTGGATGCTCTTGCAGAGGATATAGGTTTGGTTCCTAGTCCCTACAAGGTGACTCACAACCATCCATAACTCTAGTTCAAGGAGATCCAATGCTCTCTTCTGGCCTCTGCAGGCACCAGGCAAGCATGTGGTACACATACATACATACATGCAAGAAAAATATTTTACATGTAAAATAAATAATTAAAAATGTTCTTGTATATTTATAAAAAATTGATTATCTTTTGAGGATCCAAATCACCCAGTAACCATTTTTGAGCACCAAGGTTTAAAAAGGAAAGCTGCAAAGTTGACCTTAAGAATTCATATTGTAATTGGCCCTTAAAATCATGAAAATCACACTCTTCTTTATTAAGATCATTGTGTTTAAATATGAATTCATTATTGCACTCATGGTAGCATGAAAAGGTAATGGAACAGGGGACATCAGGTTGAAGGCTATCAACTGCACGGTGCTTATTATATTTAGCATGTGTTCAGAAAGTGGGTCACCTCAGGATTTTTCAGATGAATTATTGAATTATTCAAAAACATTTAAGTGTTACTTTGAAATATGTCACTTTTTAATGATAAAATGATAATAAACGTAAGGAAAGGAGCGGCATAATTTCATCACACTGATTCAACAGACAGCGTGATTTTCCTTCATGTTACTTCCCTGTTTTCCCTTGCTGAATTATTAACACAACAGCAACAACAAGAGTTTAATACCTTTATACCCACAACCAAAATCTATGGATCTTTTCTTACTCTTAAGTTGAAAAAAAAAATCACTTTGCATGTTTTAATACTAGTCCAGCCCAAATTTCCTGACCCTGAAGATGGGATCTGTCTGCCTTTGTCCTCCTCCAGGAGTAGATCTGTGGCATCTTCTGGGTTAAGGACCCCCCTTTCCTCATTGCTCTGCCCTGGCTGCATGTAGGACTTTAAGCAGGGACTTGGGAACAGGGACTTGGGAAGGAGGTAACATGGTTTCATTGCCAACAGTGGATTTATTCATCCTCTTAGCAAACAGACATCTAGTGCATTTATATTTTGACACAAGGAACCTTTGATGATACATGATTCCTGTGTTTATTTTGGTTTCCCACTCACATCTAGTTAAACTCAATGTAAGAAAGGCTTTACACAAAGTTTCTATTGAGCAGCAGCGGCAATGTCTTGTGTGTTCTAGTATCTCGCCCACTGAGGAGCATTCTATTCTTTTCAATTCCCGTGGTGGGATTGTTGAGAAAGACAGTGAGTTCATGTGACTGTTTCAAGAACAGTCCACCCTGCTTTTCGGAATAATTGAATTCATTTACATTGCTGTCATCATCACTGTGTAAACTTCTCTTCAAATCCTCCCCAATACCTGTTCTCTTCCCGCCACCCTGTGTGTGTGTGTGTCTGTGTGTCTGTGTGTGTGTGTGTGTGTGTGTGTGTGTGTGTGTGTGTGTGTGTGTCTGCATGAGTGAGTATGTTTTGATGAGTATACCTGCAAATGTTTGAACAAGACAGAGGACAACCTTGGCTGTCATTCTTCAGGTGCTATCCATTATGATTTTTTGAGATAGTCTCTGGTTGGCCTAGCTGGCTGGACAGGGAGACCCTCAGGTCTACCTGCCTCCGCCTCCCCACACGGTGCTTATAAACACATACTACCATGCTCTGTTTTACTTTTTATTTTTTTAATTAAAAATATATTAATGTGCATTCTGAAGGACTGAGCTTGGCTTCTCATGCTTGCAAGGCAAGCACTTCACCCACTGAGGTGCTTTTCCAGCCCTCTTTAATCTTTCTTTCTTTTTTTTATTTGAATTGCAAACAAGATTGACAATCCCAGTTCCCTTCTCCCTCCTGTCCTTCCCCCCCCCCCCCCCCCCCCCCCCCCCCCCTCCCCCCCCCCCCCCCCCCCCTTAGAGACAGCAGGTTTCTCTGTGTAGCTTTGGAGTCTATCCTGGCACTCGCTCTGGAGACCAGGCTGGCCTCAAACTCACAGAGATCCACCTGCCTCTGCCTCTGAGTTCTGGGATTAAAGGCGTGCACCACCAATGCCCGGCTTCCAGCCCTCTTTATCTTTCTAATACTAACTGTTCTAGCAGGTGGGAGCGATGGATCAGAACGGTTTCAAGTTGTATTTACATAATTATTAGTATTTACATTTTCACCACAAATCTGTTGGCCACTTGTAAATCTTTTGGGAAATGTTACTCAGGTTTCTTGTCTGCTTTGTACTGAGCTAGTTCCCCTTCTGTGCAGACAGAAATCCCATTGTCTACTTTTTAACTTTTACTTTCTTCTTTTATTGAAAATAGATTTTTTTCATTCAATATAGTTTGGTCATGGTTTTCCCTTCTACTCCTACCAGTTCCTCTCCACATCCCCTTCCATCAATCTGTTAGTTTGAATGGAATTGGTTTCCATAAGCTCACAGGGAGTGGCACTATTAGGAGGTGTGGCTTTGTTGCAATAGGTATGGTCTTGTCGGAGGAAGTGTGTCACTGTGGACATGGGCTTTGAGGTTTCCTATGCTCAAGATACTACACAGTGTGTGGGACCATTTCCTGTTGCCTTCTGATCAAGATGTAGCCAGCCACATGTCTGCCTGCATGCTGCCATGCTCCCCACCATGATGATAATGGACTGAACCTCTGAAACTGTGAGTCACCTCAATGAAATGTTTTCCTTATAAGAGTTGTCATGGTCATGGTATCTCTTCACAGCAATAAAAACACTAACTAAGACAACACCCTTTCTTTCTTTCCTTAGAAAACAAGCAGGCAAGAAGAGTGATGCCGAGGACATGAGGGAGCAGAATGTATGAGTCAGGGGAAGAGTACACGATAACAAGAATGGAGATATCATAATGGAGGGAGACATTTTTGGTTTACAGAGAAATCAGGCACGAGGGAAATGTCTAGAGATCTACAAAGATGACACCAGCTAACTATCTCAGCAATGGCGGAGAGGCTACCTTAAATGCCTCCCCTGATTATGAGATTGATGACTGACTTATATGCCTTCATCCAGCAGCTGGTGGAAGTAGAAGCAGACACCCATAACTAATCACCGATCTGAATTGGAACCCAGATGCAGAGAAGGACCAGTGAAGAACACAAAGGTCCAGACCAAGCTGGTGAAACACACAGAAATAGCTGACCTGAACTTCTGGGAACTCTTGCTCCCCAGTCTGATAGCTGGAATACCAGCACGGGACTGATCCAGACCCAAGGAATATGGGTTTCTGTGAGGAAACCTCAGAAATCTATGGGACCTCCTGTAGAAGCCCAGTATTTATCCCTAGCATAGGTGTGGACTTCAGGAGCCCATTCCACATAGAGGAATACTCCCTGAGCCAAGACACACAGGGGTGTGCCTAGGCCCTATCCCAAAGGATACAAAAGACTCGGATGACTCCCTATGGAAGGCCTCACCATCCAGGGGGAGCAGAAAAGATATGTGATAGGTAGGGTTTTAGTTGGGGGGGGGTAGGGGAAGAAGGGTGGGAGAAGGGAACTGGGATTGTCATGTAAAACAATCCTGTTTCTAATTCAAATAAAATAAGTTGAAAAAAAAAAGAAAACAAGCAGGCATCTAAGGGATAATAATAAAATAAAATAAAAACAAATTAGACTATGACAAAACAACCAAACAAGAAAAAGAACCAAAGAAAACCACAAGAAATTGATACAAGTACAGAGACACATCATTTGCACACGCAAGACTCCCGTAAAATCCCAGATCCAGAAGCCATAATATATATGAAAAGAACCTGTAGGGCAAAAAACAAAACAAAAAACAAAACAAAACAAAAAACAAAAAAGCTATAACTTGGCATTATGAGACAAATAACCTCCAAAGATGCTGTTGAGTTTGTTTTATGCTGGCCACCTACTGCTGTGCATGGGGCTGACCTTTAAGAGTGATTTGTTTTCCTGTGAGATTTCTTCAGAGAATACTAATCTTTCATTTGCAAGTGGTCATCGGTTGTAAATAGCTTCTGGGTTATGGATGGGAGCATGTGTCCACTTCTCCTTTCAGCTCTGGGGTCCCTGGTGCTGACTCATGCAGGCCTTGTGCATATTGCCACAGACTGTGAGTTCATATGTGTGCCAACCCTGTTCTGTCTAGAGGCCTTAGTTCCTTGGTGTCCTACATCCCTGTTGGCTCTTACATCAATTTGCTTCCTCTTTCACAGAGTTCCCTGTGCCCCGAGTGGAGGAATTTGACAGAGACACCCCCTTTAGAACTGAGTGTTCCAAGGTCTCCCACTCTCTCTATATTGTCTGGCTGTGAGTCTGTCTCTTTGTTGTTGCTGTTGTTTTTGTTGGGTCATATCCAAGAAGTCATTTGTCACATTAATGCCATGGATATTTTCCCTGTGTTTCTTTCTAGAAGTTTCATTGTTTTGGGTCTTAAATTCAATCTTTAGTTGGAGTTGCTTTTCATTGTAGTGTGCAGTAGGGTTCGATGCTCATTCTTCTATAGGTGGATAGTGCTCCTGGAACCGATGGTTGCAGAGCTGGCTCTCCCTCCTTGGGTTTTCTTGGTGCTGGTGTCCAGAGGAAGCACTTTAATCACCCCATCTAATTTTCCTCATTAGAAAACTACTTCAGAGACTTGCATTACTGTATAACAGTGTTGAGCTTGTAATGACCTGATCCCTCCGGCTTAAATCATTTAATCAATAAAATAAAATTAAGGCGATGGGTTCTGATGTACTTGTAAGAGTTCCTTGCTGTGTTTAAGTCACAGGTCAATTTTAAGATGTGCTAAAAGATCTATGAGTGTGTGTGTGTGTGTGTGTGTGTGTGTGTGTGTGTGTGTGTATGTACATGGTAGGGAGGGAGAGGGGCTTTTTAAAGATAATATATTTTAAAATTATAATTACTTTATTTCTCCCTTTCCATTTTCTTCCTCCATCCCCTCCCAAGCACCTCCCCTGCTTTGACCTCTCTCAAAGTCTCAAAATCATGACATTGTTGTTTTTAATTGTTGCTCTGCGCATACACACACACACACACACACACACACACACACACACACACACCACATACACATGGACAAATACCTATTATATGATCTCAGAACTGGCTGCATACTTGGTATTTTAGAGGTCTCTTCTCTGAGAAAGACAATTTCTCCTGCTATAAGCATTCCCCAGTTGCCCCGACCCCATGTTAACATGTCCCTTGGTGTTGTCATTATTCAGGACTTGTTAAGAAGCCATGTTGATGAGACTTCATCAGAGTAGCCTTTCTGACATTTTTAGGAGACAATCTCACAGCAAACTGCCCATTCCTTTGACTCTTATAATCATTTCACACTTTCTTCTACATTTCTTCTTCCACTTGAGAGCTGTTGGTTACCACCAAGTTATGGGTGTCACTATTGCATCCTTAGAGTTATTGTGTCAATGTTTGTGATTGTTGTCATTAATAGGTGTTATAGCAAAGTATTAATATTGGTTGCTTCCCTCCTTAGGAAGTTTACATGGTATCTTCTGGTACCATGAAAGCTAGTCCTCACCAAGGAAGGGGGCAATCAGGTCAGATTCAGGTCAGGGGCCCTCTGGTTCCCCTTGTTTAATATTCATGGTGTCTTCTGTAATAGGTACTTAGCTTCCACTTTGGGAAGCAATGAAGTGCAATATTGGAAACTTATGTTTTGTGAGTCTCTCAGATAATCCAGACCAACTACTCAAAGGAAACTTCTCATGCCCAATGCTGGGATTTTTGTCAGATCGTCTGTGACTCTTGGGGGTGGGGTGGTGGAACATTGACAGCCTAATTGGGAAAACTATTCATGTGTATGTATACACAGACATATATATTTACATGTATGGCTTTAAGATAGATAATAATATGATTTCTTATGGGCATTTTCAGACATCCGTACTGTTATTTTAGCCACCTCCCTCTTCCTCCTCCCATAGATGAAGCCCCCTCCCCCATTTGCGCCAGGGTTATAAACTTACATCTGAAGTTGAGTCAGTATAGTTTGGATTGAGTTGTGTTACATGCAGATGCACTCATGACAAGGCCATATTCAAGGGTATATGAAGGCAGCTGGCAAATCCCCATCCCTTGTGGGGAAACTGTAAAGTTCTCCCACAACCACTCAGAGAAAGCTCAGTGTCTTGTCTCAGTCTAGGCAATCCACCTTGAATTATCACAAAACATCTATGTTTGGCTAAACACAAAGGACTAGAGTATTGCTAAATCATCAGATTCTCAAATAAAAACATAATGTCTATGAAACCCATCATTGAAAAAATATCATAGAGTCAGTGGAAACAGGATAGAGTTTATTCTCACACTGATTAAGTTTAACCTTGGAGTTTGTTTGTTTGTGTTGCATCTAAATTACTCATGCTACAAAATTGGGTCAGGTGATCTATTCTCACACCTACCTTGAGGAGGATATGAACTGTGTATATGATAATGAAATTATTTCTACAAATGAGTCATAAGTACTTCCCTCACACATGTGGAATCTGCAAAATATCAACCTAAAAAGAGATGAGGAATCATCAGAGATTGGGCAGAGTGTGTGGTTTTGGGGAGGTAGAGAATGGGTGGCTTTGTGTGACTGGTGTGCCCAGTGTGTATACATGAATTACTATATAGAACCCATTAATACATGCCATGAATAAATGGTGCAAATAGTTGAACTCAATAAATATTTTGATAATAGTTTTACTAAAATATATTCTCTCTTTGTGAAATCTTTCTAATTTGACCACTGTAAAATTTTATGTATGTATAAAATTACATGTAAAATTACACATAATTACATGTACACATCTATATTTAGTTCTTATACAAAGCTTTCCTTACTTTATAACAGAACAGGTGCTCATTTGTGGAACCTTTACAACAGGTAGCTACAGGGTGTCATTCAGTCCCCTCTAGGTCAAGGATGCAACAGGAAAGTGTGTCCTCTTCCCATGTGACCTTTTAACTTCTTACCAGTCTCTCACTTGTCTATCCACACATGCAGTGAAATGAAGGTCCATTCTCCATCACTGGAAATCTTTGGCTAGGAAGCATATTCCCATCATTGATGAGGAGACATTCTTGCTCATTTTTGGATGCTTTCTTTCACTGCCTAAGCTAACTCATCAAACTGTGACTTTCACAATGGCTCTCTCAGCTAAATGGAAAGCTATGAGTACTCAGACACCCAGGCAAAAAGTAACTCCCATGCCAATGTGGTGAGTACAAACATCAGAAAGTCAAAACTAGCATGATAAAGATTGTAGATAAAGACTGTAGGTTGAACTTAACTGTTGGCTATGACAAGACCTTGACAATGTAGACCAGTTTGCTGAATCAGCTGCCATCCCAGGCTGCTATTCTTGGTTTCATAGCATCTGTGTTCTGGAAGATTAGAGAACTTTCTAAAATGCTTTGGACGCTTTCTCTTCATTCACAAAGCACAGCTTTCTGAGTGGACAAGGCTCTCTTGTTGCCGTCACTTTTGGTCGCATCACTTGTTGACCCTTAGTCTTGATCAAGCATCTCTTGGCTTTCCCATCACAACAGCCACTTGTTTCTGTCCCTCTATTTGTTCTATTGTGTATTGTCCAGTATCCTTTATGTTCCTTTCAGAGTTTGGGGTGGGGGTGAGCAGAGGGGATGCCCGTACACCCAGTGAAGACCTTGGGAGAATTAACATAGACTGAATGAATATATTAAAGGAAACTGGATTTCAGCAGCCTTGAATGGGAGATTGTTTCTCTTTGTAATCAACACTTGAGTTGTAACTGATAGGAGACATTTTTAAGGAATGTCTTTAAAAAGTTTCAACAGCGAAACTGTGTGTTTCCTTTATATACAGACTCTCTTTGAGGTCTACAACTGCTCTGAGGCTGGAGGGCCCAGCAAGGAGGTGCCAAGAATGTAGTTGAGACTTTGCACAGAAAAACTCAGTATTGGAGGAACAGCCATTACTAGGGATTGGTGTGTGCTTCTAAAAGATCTAGTGCCTTCTCTGGCTTCTTGCCACTTTCCACCTGGGGCTAGGCTACCTTGATCATCTAATAGGGGCTGACCTTGGTTGAGGCCAGAGAGACATCATCTAGGCATTGAATCATTGTCCAACTGAGTCTGGGTTTCAGTTCAACCCAGAACCAGAATTTTTGCTGACTTGGTGAAGTTTTGTGCCTGTTTCTGTAGATAGGCACCCGCTGCTCTCAGGATCTTAGTCCATGTTGTGTTGTGTTTGTTACATTATATAACTATTAATTCACTGACTCCTTTCCATAAATTAACTCAAGACATATAAGTCCATGCATATTTCTGTTGGAAGTCTTTTTGCCATTTATCAATGTTTGGGGACTAGTAACCAATATTTTCCTCATTTATATTGTATAGAAGCTACAAAAGGCAATATCTATAATTACTTTGAGTCTCCATTGCAGCCTGAGTGACTTACTGTCATCTTTTAAGAATGATAGAATTTTAACTATCTAGTGCAATAGTGTATGCATGGTATGTGTGGAAATGGATTTTAAATAAGGGCTGGCCTGACAGTGAACTCATTTGCTATTATTGGTGTATTAATAATGGTACATGTACAAATGTGTACATGTGTTCACAGTCTGTTTGGGCACACACTTGTGTGCAGTCACTCACACACGTGTGCGAGTGTGTGTGTGTGTGTGTGTGTGTGTGTGTGTGTGTGTGTGTGTGCACTCGCGTGCATGCACATGTGTGTAGGCCATAGTTAGCATTGGGTATCGTCCTCAGTTGCTCCAATCTCCACTTTATTGTTTGAGTCAGTCTCTCTTGCTGAACTGGAAGCTTGCCAATTCTGGCTAGTCTACGTAGTGAACTTGACTTAGTGTTCCCTTGTCTCTGCTTTCCAAGTTCCAGGATTCTGGGAGACAACCAAGCCTATCCAGCTTTTATGTGGGCAAATGCTTTATTCACTGAGCCCCATTTACCATAGTTTTAATGCTAGTTAGTGTTCTGAAAGTGGTAAAAGTGGCTCATTTTATGCATTAGATTAGGATGTGAAATTCAGGGTATGTTTTGATGATTTCTCAAAAACAAAAAACCAGAAAATAAATGTCTGTCTGTCTATCTATCTATCTATCTATCTATCTATCTATCTATCTATCTATCTAATCTGTGCACACACACTCTGGGAGGTCAGAGGACAGCTTTCAGGTGTCAGCTCTCTGCTGCCACATTGTGGGATCTAGAATAGGACTTGGGTGAGTAAAGCAGGGTGCAAGCCTGTCTGCATGCCAAATCATCTCTCAGGGTCTCAAATGCCTTCCAAATGCAGGGTAATGTTGTCTTCTGTGCAGGGACGACATCGGACTGGGATCACAGATGAGTGCCATGCAGTAGAACATCTCATTCCGTGTGCTGCTGCTAACCTTTACTTCCATAGCACTCAGATCTTTCAGAGTTTTTATTATTTTCGAATAAATTTTAATTAGAATATAATTATATAATTTCTGCTTCTGTTTTCTTCCTCTATCACCTCCTATCCCCCTCCCCACTGTGAAAGCTGGTCCCCAGCATGGGACTCTAGGTTAGATCTAGCTCAAATGCAAATGGAAAATAAAGTTAGAGCAAAACAGCCATGCGGGCCACACCTGCCTTGCAGATCAATTCCCTTCCTCACGTGCAATTTCTTCCACCATTTTTGCTATTTAATTATTTAAACTTTTAATTTTAATTATGTGTGCACATCTATGGACACATTTGCAGGCCATAAGAGTACATCAGATTCTACAGCTGTAGTTACAGACAGTTGTGAGCTGCCCGGGTATGGGTGCTTGAAAACTGAGCTCCAGTCCTCTGTTAGAGCAGTGTCCTTCTTGTTATGTTTTAAACACCATGCTAAAGTGTCTATTAGTTTTTCATTCGTAGTTTAAATTTCCCCCGTATCCTTCCTTCATCGGCTCCACTCAAGTACATGCACAGTAGCCCTACACGCTCACACGCTTGAGGTCAAGCGTGCTGCTGTGTGCTGCTGTGTCCGATCTCTCAATTTCATTTGTGACAGTCTTTGGTTAAACTGATAACTAGTTTTTATGACTTATAAACAGGTAAGTTTCATTCATGGATGGCAATATGTTTTGAATATGCATCTCTTTTATTTTGTTAGAATCTCGGTGTTTTACTTCTAAATTATAGGCCTTCTGAGTACCCATCAACAAATTTGCCTTTTGATGGAACTATAGGCTGTGGTATTCATTTTTATTTAAACTAGAGATCAGGTAACCCAGGAGTGTGTGTGTGTGTGTGTGTGTGTGTGTGTGTGTGTGTGTGTGGGGGTGTGGGTGTTTGAGGTTGGGGTGGTGCTTTCTTAGTATTTATGGTATCCATCTCCTCTTTTGCAGAATTCTGTCTCTGTACTCACCCATAGGAGGCCTTTGCCGCCCACTCAGCGGGGAAAACAGTGATTGACAATGCCTTTTGGAGCACAGGTATGAATGCTGCTTCTTAGGCCTGAGACATCTACTTGCTCACCTACAGGCTACTCTTAGGCTCCAGCTTAAAGATAGCTGCTGTCTATTTTTGATTCTTTCCGGAGGAGTTCTCTGGTATCAGACAGTTCATTTTAAAATAGATTTTTTCCCACAGCAGTTTTATGTTCATAGAACAATTGAGCAGAGGGCACAGAACTTTTCAGTATATTTGCTATTCCTTGCACATACCAGTCTCCTCCACTTCCAACATCTTGCGCACAGGCACATTTGTTCCAGAGCATGGGCCTGCACTGACATGACATTATCACCCAAGTCCATAATGCACATGAGTCTTCATTCATTCTGTTTGGACCAGTGGGGATTCCTGTATCTGTCATATTAATATACCACATTAGTATCCTACAGAGTTGCTTTACTAGCCCAGATCCCCATGCTCCACCCAGTCAGTCCTTTTGTTTTGTCTTTCTGTCTGCCATCCCCTGTCCATCGACTGTCACTGTTCCATGACTTTTAGTGGCATCTCATCTGGTAATACCTCTTCCACTGCTTCAATTGTTTCTAATGGGAAAAACTGGAAGGGCTTCTCTCTGGCAAGGAAAACTCTCAAATGCAATGAGGATATGCTGTGTCTTGATTGAGATAATAAATATACATGTGAATACAATTGGGAAAACATATCAAGTTTAAGAGAGTGCCTTGTTAATGTAAACCAAGTAATTTAAAGATGGGAAACTGGACTTGAAAAACTGAAGCAGCACTTTAACAGCATCAAGAGGACTGGACTTTGGATTCACCTTTGCTCCAGTGATAATGTATTAGGTAGTTTTATGAAATAGAATTAGTATTTTTTAAATAAGGTTAGAAATAAAATAGTAGATGCTAGCAAGGGTTCAGGGAAAGACAGGTTTCATAGCCGGTAGCATGTCAATTAACCCTGCCATTATGGAAAATATTTTGAGTGTTCCTGAAAACAAAACAAAACAAAACAAAACAAAACACCGGAGTATCTACTCAGGGGACGAAGAAATGAGGTTTGGTGAGGACAATAAAAATGTTTAATAAAAAACATAAAATATCATTAGAAAACAATAGCCTGGATAGAGTGAACAAAAAAAGAATAAGAATGTGGGCAGTCATATCAGATATAAAATTATATTTAAATGTAATCATTATAATGTTGTTAGTTTTAACATAGGGAAAAATGCAAACTGTAGTGCGTCCCTTCCCTTGTCAGAGAGAGTGGGGAAGAAGAGAGGAAAGAGGAGGGAGTAAGAGAAACAGGGCAGGAGAATGAATCTTTCCTAAAAGTGATGGGAGAATGGCTTCTTTGATTGACAGTGTTGGGAAAATCACTAATTGAAATAGTTGGAGAAACTCAGCTTTGTTCTCATCAGTCATCATTTGCTTTAACGAGACCACACAGAAAAACACTAATGCTCAATATATTGAAAAGAATTGAGGTCACAGAGGAGAATATGAATGTGTTCCAACTTGTTTTAGTCCAAAGATCAAGTTATTAAGGCTAAGAAAATTTGCTATATAAATGCTGTATCAGTTATGAATTATTGTAATATATAATAACTTGTTATAAACAATAAAAACTAAATGAAGCCACAAATGCAAATGACCCAAGGTCAGCTCATAAATTTCATGTAAATGACAAATCAATTCAAAATCTGTTAATGTGAATATGACTTGTCATAGCCAGAATCCGAAGGCTCTGACCTAGGGCATGATGGAAGTATAACTAACTTGAGGTCAGGGAGATACTTTGAGGAAATGTTTTCTATGCATATATTAGTAGTATGCTACTAAATTTTTAAATGTTTCTCATTTTCAGCCAAACAATTTCTACAGCAGAGTCCAGGGTCATTGTTAAAGACCTGATGGAGGCCGGGCATTGGTGTTCATGGTATAATATGTAAAACTCAGACAAACCCTATACATTATACACATGCACATTTACACATAAGTAACAGATACATATGAGATACCTTCATGTATACAGATATTAGAAACCACATCAAATGTAGTTTTATGTCCTTTTTTTAAATCAGATATCATTCTCCATTGTATTAGTTGTAAAACTTACTAATTTAATGACTAAGCTCATGCCTGTAATCCTAGTTCTCAGGTGACTGAAGCAGAAGGTTTGTGACTTCCAGGGCAGTTCAGGCTGCAAAGAAGGAGCCTAACTCTAAATGCAACAGCAGCAGCAGCAGCAACAGTAAAACAAAACAAAACAAAACAAAGCAAACAACAAAATCAAGAGCAGACTGTGAATTACCTACAAGGTCACAGGATATGAGCAAAGAGACCTCATAGCACCAGTACTTTAAATGCAACAGCTGTTATTTATGGATAGTTGTAGACTGGTTCTAATTCTTCAATAATTGTAATGATCTCTATATTTATTCCTAAATTGAATTCAGTTTAGTTATTTTTATTTTTTATTTAAATTAGAAACAAGCTTCTTTTACATCAATCTCAGTTCCCTCTCCCTCCCCTCATCCCCTGCCTTCACTGACCCCCTATCCCAACCCCTTTGTGCTCCCCAGGAAGAGTGAGGCCTTCCATAGGGCATCTTCTTGGAGCAGGGCCTAGACCCTCCCCAGTGTGTTTAGGCTGAGAGAATATCCCTCTATATGGAGAGGGCTCCCAAAGTTCATTTGTGTACTAGGGGTAAATACTGATCCACTACCAGTGGCCCCATATATTGCCCAGACCTCCAAACTGGCATCCTCATTCAGGGGGTCTGGAACAGTCCTGTGCTGGTTTCCCAGCTATCAGTCTGGGGTCCATGAGCAATCCTTTGTTCAGGTCAGCTGTTTCTGTGTGTTTCTCCAGCCTGGTCTTGACCCCTTTGCTCATCACTCCTCCCTTTCTGCAACTGGATTCCAGAGTTCAGCTCAGTGTTTAGCTGTGGGTGTCTGCTTCTGCTTCCATCAGCTACTGGATGAAGGCTCTAGGATGGCATATGTTAGTAATCAATCTCATTATCGGAGAGGGGCATTTAAAGTAGCCTCTCCACTAGTTCTTAGATTGTTAGTTGATGTCAACCTTGAAGATCTCTGGACATTTCCCTAGTGCCACAATTCTCTTTAAACCTATAATGGCGCCCTCTATGATGGTGTCTCTCATCCAGCTCTCCTCGATTCTTCCCCTGACTAGATCTTCCTGCTCCCTCATGTCCTCCTCTCCCCTCCTCTTCTCCCCTTCTCTTTCTCCTAACTCCCTCTCCCCTCCCCCCATGCTCCCCATTAGCTTAGGAGATCTTGTCCCTTTCCCCTTCTCCAGGGGACCATGTATGTCTCTCTTAGGGTCTTCCTTGTTTCCTAGCTTCTCTGGTGGTATGGATTGTAGGCTACTACTTCATTGCTCTAGATCAGTTTAGTTAATTTTAAAGTTAAAGTTAAACCCAAATTAAGGGAGGGTAAACATGTGTAACTAATGAAATTCAGAGTGAGAAAAAACAGACTTTATCCAGAGTAGGAATTTGCATTTGCTATAAACAAAACAAGAAAATAGAAAAAAACCAAAAAACAAAAAACAAATGAACGAAAATAAGGAGATAATGCTGGGGGCAGGGCATCTGAAAAGATCAACTCAGCAAGGTATTTGTTCAGGCAACAAATGGTGTGACATCATCTGATGATGTCCAGTCTATGTGTTTCCTGAGCCATGAGGTCTCAGAAGGAACTCAGAATATGTCTGCTGAAGAAGCAAGGAAACGGGCAATGTGGGAAGTAAGGTAAAAAGATGGCACAGACATCAGCCACCTTGTAACACATGCCACCTATCCTTGACTAGATCCACGAGCACACAGCAGGTTTGGAAGGAAACACACAGCAAACAGGTCTGTCTCTTTGCAAGGAGAACAATAAAGTAAGTCTTCTGGGTGGTGTCCTGACCGCCTGAACTGTGTGCCTAGGGAAACACCTGCATTCCACTCTGCCTTTTATCCCAAGAGAATGTGGAGTCAGCAGCAGTGATGAGTCCCCAGCCCAGGGAGGGGTGGAGTCATGTGTAAGAGGCTCACAGCATGACCTACAAATAATTGAGATAAAAATATGTATAGATTCTATGCTCTGTATAGGTTCAGGTGACTTCAATATTTCTACAAAAAGGGCACAGAGGAAGGGTTTCTCAGCATCAGGAGGGGAGGTAAAAGTCACCTGCAGTGTCTACAGCATCATGTGGACACAGTCACATCACGGTGCCCGCCTCTTCTGAGACTAATGGCACAATCAATATTTAGGACTACCCTGGAATATAGGGAATCAAAATACTTTTTAAAGGAGACAGATTTCAAACAGTATGTTGGAAAATCTCCTAGCAGATTGTAACTAATTCCTGAGTGCTTTCTTTCTATGGAGAGGTGGAAACAAACAGTGGCTGGCCTTTCAGTAAGCAATAGACTTCCAGGGACTGTAGCTAATTTCAAGGCTAAGGATCAACCAGTGACAGAAACTTTAAACTGGTCCAGAGGTTAACCTCACAGCAGCAGGCTCTACCTTCCCTGGCTCTATGCTAACTAAACTGAAAAGTAAGCAGACAGTGATTAAGTGATCGTGCATGTTCCTTTCCATTTTAGACACATCCTGAATACTAGCAACTCTTGGCTGACTATAAAGCTACTGAGCAAAATGAAGGTTAAATATTTACCCCCTGGTTGGCCAAAAAGGAGGAAATGCTGTGTTTTTAAACCCAAGGGTCACATCACTATGACAAAGAGAGCCAAGTTTTTTTAGCCCCTACAATAAAATCTACAGGACACAAGGACCCCAAAAATCTGGCTCTTCTTGTTCCCAGTGAGCTCGCCTTCGTCTCCCACACTGTCTTTTACTGTGTGCTCTCTTTGTCCTCTTCCCTCCAGCAGACCTCCAGCCCTCTTGCTCTGACATCCTTTGGATCGAACTCTATTATACCCAAATCCCCTTTTGAGTCTGTCTTTAAATTCTTTTATCAATAAGACGAAAAGCCCGCAACCTAGATTCTGTGTTCCTATAATGACAGACTCACATTAACTTTAAAGCTCCACTATTTTAACATTTACAGATGCTGTTTGATTTATGATGGAGCTACATTCAGATAAATACATCATAGGCTGAGCAACTAGAGGTTACACTGAATTCACTGAATGAATGCAGCCTACAGACACCGAGCTCAGCAGTAGAGCGCGCTGCACCATGGGAGTTTCTTCTGGTGGTCTGTGGTCAATGATGGCAGCACTGACTGGAAACTGTGGCTTTGAATTCTGTTCAGCATCCTGAAAGATGTTCCATATGATGCGCATGTGCCGTCTTTGGCATTTGTGGCAGATATTGTCATCTACAAAATTCATGCTCAAAAATAGAACAGTGGGGTTTAAATTTTTTTTAACTGATAATGTCTTAAGTGATTTTATACTTTCATGTTGGGCCTCATTCAGTGCCATTCTAGAGATCACGTGCCTGGCGGTTCTCTATGAGAAACATCAGTGCAGGAAAAAAGGAAATTGGAAATCTGAAGAATAAGTCATCTGATTGTTTCCTACCAGCACCAGCTTTGAACAACAGTGAGCCAAACCATTGTAAACTGGGTCGTCATGGTGAGCCAAGGACAGCATGTATTAACGTCTGTACCACAGTATAGTCTGCTTTCTGAAATGTAATACAAATTTTCTTTAATATTGCAACCATTATTTACAAATGCATAGAAGAAAACTTTCTACAAACCCCATTTTTTTGTTATTTGTAATATTAATGTATCATTATGATCTATCTGAAGTTTACAGTTTCTAATGTGTTTTATTCTGACCCGTTTCTCTTCTCACAGTGTGAACACACACACACACACACACACACACACACACACACACACACACTTTCCAGAGATTTATCTTCTCAATATTTTTCATCCCTCTGTGGGGACACATCGTTTCAAAACACTCTCCCTTTTCCCCTAAAAAGCTTCACAAAGGAGTGTTCTAGAATCCTCAAAATGAACACACAGTGCTGCTTAGAACTTTATGACAATTACTTTAAAGCACATATTTAGGGAAATGGTGACTGGATACAATGTTACACATACAAAGTTCATCGGAGTCTAGGAAAGAAAGGGTTTCTTAGCCAAATCCACTTGTAAGTTTCAGATAAAACAGCATTTGTCCAGCAGTAACACTGTGAGGTGTGTGGTCCCTTGCTGGGAAGACCAACAAGTTCAAAGTTCATCAGATTGGAGGAGCAAAGAAGGAATGCATCACAGTGAGATAGATGATTTCAAAACCACTTCAAAATGAATCCTTCTAGACAGAGGCCAGTGACTGTCTGAGGGGAGTGTTTCCAGACAGCTCCCTCATATCCAAATGGCATTTTCTGCTGTGGATTATTTACTATTGTCCAACAAAGAGGAATAAAGGTCAGCAGGGTGTTCCCAGTTCTAGAGTACCCAAACATGATGGATAGAGTGTTTCAAAGTTCATTTCAAGGAATGATATTTTAATATGCCTTAAGAAGAAAGTAAACAGTTCGGTAGAATAGAGAGCTGAGTTTACAGCTGGGAAAACCTCACAGGCCTCAGCAATGAAGTGTTCCTGTGAAACAGAAGACTCAGATCAGCTGTGAAGATCCAAAAGTCAATGATACAGTGATGAGAACAGGAAATAAAGCTGTGTATGAAAGTGGTACTATCTATCACCTGCTGAGCTACTTCAGGGAGGGGAAGACAAATTGGATAAATGGACAGTTGCTAAGTGTCACAAATGTGAGTATCAAACATTACTTTGGCTTCACAGAAGAGTTTAAAGCCTTTCCAAGGAATTGCTTTCACAAAGGAAGTCCACTGAGTATAAAATACAGACAAAACAAACAACATTTGCAGTCATGTTAGCCCATGGCATCTTACACACACTGGGCTGCACACAAGTTCACATCTATTGACAAACAATGGTTATGCTGCCAACAAAGTGAATTCAGGGGCCACGATTCTTAAAGTGAATTCCAGGGCCATGATCTTTGTTCATCCTTTGATGGGATGGATGCTGATGGAGAGAAAGCACCAGGAACGTCAGAAAAGAGTGTTTGAGGATTCTGCTAGTTGTTCTTTGCTGAACACTGTCACTAAAACTGCCAGAGGCAGTAACATCTCTGGGAAGTGACCAGGGGGGATGTAAAAGGTGTATGTCCACAACTATCAGGGTGAGTTGTTCAAGGTATTTAGAAACCACAGTACCAGGGGCTTTCCTAGGAGGTCACATTTTGCTGGCACATAGCAGTGAGTGACATGTAACTCAAAGTGTATCTGGGGACAAGCTCACAAGCATTAATTCATCTTCTAGGGATGTAAAGAAAAACTTAAATCTGAATCAAAGCAAAATCAAAAGTAAAACTGAAAAAAAAGTGGGTAAAAGCCAGCTTTTACATACTTGGGACCAGAGACCAGACTTGGAATAGCCACATATGTAGTCTCTTTCCTCACCTGTTAGAAGGAAGTGGTAAGAGCAGTCTGACACCTTCATGGAGAAGATTCAACATGGTGGGGTTTGAAAAGCAGCTTCAGGCCCTCTGTAGAGGGTTGTGTTGCCCTGTGTAGTAATTACAGTCTCTCTGTGTATGCTTTCCTCGGTTCTGTGGCTGACTGCCCTCAGAGGGTTGGGGACTGTGACCCTCAAGATGAGTTTTGTTCATTTTTGTCTGCCAGCCTCAGCTCCAAAAAAGGCCATTGTATTGGCCTCAAGATAGCACTGCTCACTATGAGTGACACTGCAGTTGTGTCTTCAAAATATGTATTTTTTTAGCAGGTTGGAGGAGAGCTCAGTTTATAGCTCAATGAAATACTTGAATGTTTTTCTTCATGTTTTCAGACATATTTCCCAATTTTGAAATTGTTTAAAAATACAACAAAATTTTCTATCTTAATTATATTTTGGTACAATGATTGACGATATGAAATTCATTGGTAATTTTGCTCAGCCACCAGCATCATCCAGCTCTGTAATTCTTCTCCTGTGAAAGCAAAAGTTGGTACCCAGGGAACAACAGCTTACATCACCCTCCCTATGGCTCCTGAAATCCACCATCCACTTGTCTCTGTGATGTAGACTGTTGTGTAGACCTGGCATGAGTGGAATCATGCATCCCTGTCTTTCTGTGCCTAGTTTACTTCACATAGCATGTGTTCCTAGGATCCCTTAATGCAGCATGTGTCATGTATCATCAGCATATCCTGGACACCCACCACTTTCCAAGGAGATCCATGCCCTGTCTCTAAAGACTGTTTGGTCATCACAGTCCCAGTGAACCACCCTTACCTGCCAGATTGCTGTATGCAATGACATTCATAAGTGCTGTTGGGAAAGTCTTCCAGCTCTTCTGTCCTTTAATACATTGGGTGTGACCATGGACCTCATGATGGATAGTGCATTGCAGCTGGTGAGGTACTGCATTCTGTGCCAGGAAAGAAGACTGTGGACATACACAGAACTCTGTAGTGCTCCCATAGTACTCAACTCATTGAAAAACTATGCATCAAATTTCTTTTTTTCTAGTTCAGGGGAAATATTTATTTGTGTATTTTGACAAGAATTAAGCCTTGTAAGAGTGAATGAAGATAGCCAAAACCAAGATTATTTTACACTTACTAGAAAAATTTCAAAACATACTGCATTTCAGTCTATAATAAATTTGTAAATATTGATAATAAAATTTAAACCACACATTTAATATTGTTTTAAATAATGGCAAAGACTATAAAAGAAAGTAAAAATGTTTTATGCCTAGTTATATAATTATATTCTTAGATAAATAAGCAGCAAACATTTTTGTTTGCAGAGGATGACCCAGACTCTAAGAACAGGTTCAATTACAGTGTAGAGCATGTAAAAGTTAACATAGATCATGTGAACTAACATCTGCTCAAAATTAAAATTAAACTTCTAAGTGTTAGTAGTGAGTCTTTTAAAAAATACATTTTGCTTTTAAATACATTGCTTTTAAAACAATCTAGAGAATTGTTCAGTAAGGATGATCTCCTTTGTAATAACAGGCTTCCTATAATTTACATAATACTGATGAATCTTTTCAAATGAAGGCTTTGGGCAGTAAAGGAAAAATAAAGCCTGTGCTGTATTTTGTCTTTTCCAACTTACAATGTAATATGAATTTTAAGGAAAATGATCACAAAAATGCAATCATGATAGAACAGGACAGCTACAGCATTTGAAAATGAATGATTCTGAGAATAAGCTCCTGAATTAAGTTTAAAGCTACCCAAGGTTTCATGGATTGATATTTTGAGATCTAAAATAAAATGTCCCCAGTTTTCACACTGTAGTGCAATGCTCAATAAAACTAAATATTAAGAGGTAAAGGGCTGCTTATGCAAATTTCTTACCTAAGTCTATTGGGCTACAAATGTTCAGTTATCTGGCAACACAGAGTACGTCAGGGTAGCTTTAGTAACTAGCCCTGGACCCAGTGGGACTAGGGACAGTGTCCTGCCACGGCTGGCTGGCTGCCTTCTAGAAGCACATTCTATATGACCTGTTTCACACCATCTGGACATCCTAGGTACCTTGTGGTGTGCCTAGTAACCGCTTCCTGGGTGTCAGAGCCAATGTGGCTCTAAGGCTACTGTGGGTGGTGTAGTGGGCAAGTTCATGAGTGGCACCCGAGTTCAACAAACCTAACCACAGCTGTAACCGGGCAGTCAAAAGAGACTGTGAACACAGTAAACACCCATACCTGTGTCACCACACAGGCACCTAGTGGGCTCTGCTCCCAGCTTTTGTCATCAGTGCTCTGTGTGTGTGTGTGACTCTCAAGATTTTGTGTCTTAAAGTGATTCAGCTTTGGGGTTTGCTGCTCACAACAATCGTGTTGAGAGATTTATTATTATTATTATTATTATTATTATTATTATTATTGGTTTTTCGAGACAGGGTTTCTCTGTGGCTTCTCTGACTATCCCGGAACTTGCTCTTATAGACCAGGCTGGTCTCAAACTCACAGAGATCCACCTGCCTCTGCCTCCTGAGTGCTGGGATTAAAGGCATGCACCACTACTGCCCGGCCGAGAGATTTATTTTTTTAAATATATTTATTTCTTTAAATATATTGCTGCATTCCAGTCTGAGAAAATGGACAGAAAGTCACTGTCTGATTGTTTTCTAAAGATCTTAGATTTATAGGAGAGGGTGTGAGGGATGGAGCCCAGAGTCTGTGTTTGAAAGACATGAACTGTAAGTAGAACAAACACTGTGTGAGGAGACCTTGGCTGCTCTTGTCCCCCAAAGACCCCAAGGGGGCCACTATTCAACACCAGGTGATGATGGCTATGGAAGTTTGCTTCAGCACAGCAACCTTCTTATGCATCATTGTTGTAAACTTTAAATATATACAATAAAATGTATGAAAAGGGGATACATTGGATTGAAGAAAAAAATTCCTCACATAAAAGAAAGCATCACTAGCCGAGTGTTGGTGGTGCACACCTTTAATCCCAGCACTCGGGAGGCAGAGGCAGGCGGATCTTTGTGAGTTCGAGGCCAGCCTGGTCTACAGATCAAGGAGTTCCAGGACAGCCTCCAAAGCCACAGTGAAACCCTGTACGCCAAGACTGTACATTCATTCTGTGTGGGATGCTGAATGCTTCTACCACTTTAAATTAACATTTGCTATGAAGCATTCAACCACTACGAAGCATTTTTCATAACTGGTAAAAATAGCTTCAT